GATGTGTGATTGCTGATGCAGCCAGTGCTGGATCCTCTCCAGCCGTGTTCTGGTGCCAGCTGGGGAATATACAGAAAAATGAACGCGCCCACACCGCTGGGCATTGCCACGGTCTAGGCACCGCCCCCCCCCCGGCATTCAGGGCATCCAGTGCCCTTCGCTCCGTCGGGATACGCGTCCTCGGCCATCACTCTCTGCGAGCGCAGATCCACGGCTGTGGGATGCCCGATCGCCTGGGGCGGTGACCTCCCGTCTTCGCGGGACCATGCAGGAACGACGTCGCGCTCGCCCCGACAGATGCCCACCGCGCCAGCCCTGCCGGGCCGCCGGGAACTGCCTCGTCTACCTGACTCAAGGCCCCCTTGCCTCCCATGGTGAGATACGGGATCTTGCCAACGACGCCAGATCAAGCCGTTCTCCATTTGGCGGCAGTAGATGACGCCGGCTCTCCAGTTGATACTGTAGCCGTGGTCTACGCAGATTTCACCTACAGATACCACGCTGAGGGGTTCCAGCATGACAGTAGCCTCAACGATCCCCCCGCACAGCCCGCCGCCAGCAATGCGCACGGCCCCGAGAGCCTGCGATTGCCATCGCGCAGCGCCAATGGCCATGAGCGCTCGCAAAGGAACGATCCCGCCCATCGGCCCGGCCCCGCGAAGGAAGCGCACCGCTATCAAATTGCATCCACATCCAATGCCGCCAGTGAACCGCGCACGTCCGCGACGCACAGGGCCACCTCGTTCGACACCTGGTCTCTTCGAGGCTTTCCTCGCAAACGCAGCGACGCAGTCGCCCTCCGAGTCGCGACACAAATCAGACAGCGCAGCATCTGGGTAACGATCCCAGTTGGTCCATAGACGTCGAGAGCCTTTCTCTGATTTGGCCGCTTGGACATAGGCCAGCCTCTGATTATCCTTATCATGTTGTTCACTGTCTTACGCCCACCTAGGGTCGAGCGCGAAGACGCTGCCCGGCGACGCCCCCATCGCCCGGGGTCTCCTCTTCCGGGGGGGCCCGATGGGAACGCGCACAAGGGACAGGAGTAGAAGGACCCATGCTTACCCAGCTCTGCCGAGTCGCGTTTACCGAGGCAGCGCGCCCCGCGCCCTTGCGGAGAACGCTCCGCCCTGGTTCACTGTTCTGCAACGTGTCCAGAGCGGGTGTCGGCAAAGTCTCGATGCCCCCAGCCTGGAGGCATCGCAGTAGACTTGCAAACGGGTTTTCCATTGCGCCCGTCAGCGCCGGCGCCGCGCGGCAATTTGCCGCCGCGCGACCCCCCGGGCCACCGACCTCGGCATCACCAAGATCAGCGCCCACCTCTCGTCGCGGGACTCGAAGCCCCAATCCCGCATAAACCACAGCGGGAGAAGCGTTTAGAAACACTTCCTTACGCGGGGTTTTCTCAGCGGCACCCCTATCCCCGTCCGCGCGGCCTGCGCCGGCGACGCTGCCGCCGCGCGCCGGCCGCCCTCGTCGCGGTCGGTCGGGGGCATTATTCGCGCCCAAACAATCGCTTCCAAAGTGGCATGAGCCAGTCGGAAGGCACCTCCAACACTGCCGCGGCTCTTTACTTTTCCTTTGCCCTTGGAACCCTTGGACTTCCCGCCGCCAGGGCCGCCAGGAGCTGGGCGTTCCTTCGCGTTTTGCGGCGCGGCAGAGGCACGGCCGGCGCTTCTCTTCCACGCGGGCCCCTTTTTTCCCTTGCCCATTTTGGCCCCCCACTTATCACGCGCGAACTTTTCTTCAGGCGTCGCTCTGCGATGCTCGCGGAGGCGCCGATCCCGAGGCGTCGAACAGGCCCCCCGACTGACAGCGCAACGCAATCCGCCGTTCGAGGACGTCGTGCTCGACCCTCTACTCTGCGAGCGCGGGCGGTCGCCACCGTTGCCGCGCTCTTGGCTTCCACCTCGATTCGTTTCTCCTTTCGCACCGCCTTTCTTGGAATCACCCTTCTTCCTGTCACCTTGCCCTCCGCCGCCGCCTCGGCCGCCTGGGGCGGCGTCTTGCAACGCGGGGGCAGCGGGGGCGGCCCCTCAGGGTGCTCGCATTGACACTTAGCCCTTGAAAATTCATATTCCCCCAGAATAAAATATTTACAATCGACATATGTCTTCGAGGTCTTCCCATCTGGCACGCAAAACGACCGCTTCTCGTCGCCCCCACCCCTCGCGCGCCCCATGGGGAGGCCGCGGGTGTTCAGCTGCTTTCGCAGGCCCTCTCGGTTGCGCGCTCTATCCGCCTGCGCGTGCCCACTGATCTAAGCAAGCAGACATTCGCACGACTTGACGCCCCTGCCTTAATCATCGTTACGATGACCGTATACGGCAAGACCCATCGCCATATTCAGGCATTTCTGCCTCTGTCTGTAGACGTGTTATTGGATGGCAGGTCGGACCAACTGGTGGGGCGTTTCTATCTCATTCATGACTTCCATCCATTCATCGTAGAAATTAACTAAGTCATGATCTGCTTGCTTGCCCGAACCTCAGACCGTGATTTGCATCAAGTCCTGGCGCGTACACAGCTGACCGTGATTCTGTCGGGCAGTAAGGCGCACGACAACGGACCGCAAAATGGCGCACCCCGAAAGCATCCTCGATGTTCTCAAATGCTTAGAATCCAGGCGGTCGGTTGCACTTGCCGAGTGTCTCGTAGGAGATGACGCCTTCGCGTCGTTGGAGATTGTTAGCCGTCGACATCAGGCCCGAGGCGATCATCATATCAAGTCTCCCAAACTCGCCGTGGTCGTCGAGGTCCCCTATAGGGACCTCTTTGATCTGAAAGGCAGCGTTAATCCAGGGGGGTGCTCTTATCCAGTGTAGAGCTAGACGAGACAAGCCCAAAAACATAGGATCGAGAACGATGTTGTCCTTCTTCCCCACATCTGCCCACACTCCTCCCGCGCCCAGGACACCGTTCGGGAGATTCGACCGATTTCCATCCCTCGGCGGAAGATCGCCAACCAGAGGGCCGCAACGTCCACGACGCTTGTCTCCATTATCGCTTTCCTCGTCGCCCGAAGGATCTGCATCCTCGTCCTCAGATTCATCTGTGTCGAGATCTGAATTATCATCGGATCCGCCACCGCCGTCACCGGGAGGGCCTGAGCCTTTCTTGTTCTCGGCAGGGGCAGCGTCACTTGGGGCGGAATCCTCGGACTCTCCCCCTTCAAACGCACCACCACCATCGTCGCCTCCACCTCCGGGCTTCCGGGAGCTTGGGGGAGTGCAACCTGGGAACCTCGTGACAGGCACCGCCTCCACGGCGATCCCGTCTTGACTGTCCTTTTTCCGACGCTCGTCGTCTTCCCTAGCTTCCTCTTCTTGCTCAATTTCCAGTTTTTCGGCGACCGGCTCCTCCTCTGTCCGTTATTCCGCGCGTTGTTTCCTTCGCTGCTCACTAGCCGCAGCGTGGCGTTCCATGTTCTCCTCTGCCCCGCGTAACATTAAAGTCAAACGACTGTGCTCGGCCATACCGCTGTGCTCAAACGCCCTCAAGCGTCGAGCGACCTCACTCTCCAGTCCTTGCCCCCAGGAGGCCGTGGCATCGTCGGGCGGCTTCCCCGAAATAGGTCGACAGCCGAATGGCCCTGCACCTGGTAGAGTTTGAGCGGCTACGCGCATGTCCATCTCCATTCTAATTGTAAGCTCATTATCTTCTTTTCTATTTGTTCTTCTTCTTCCGTTCCCATTAGACGGACGCAGCGGGCATGTCACGCCGAATAATCCGTCCTCTACGAACCCCGAGTGAATTGGTTGCACGACCTGGCCCCCGCTGCGCCAGCACACCGTCGCCCTCGCGCAGCATCGGCCTCGCCCGCACGCACGACACGCTCCGAGGACCGAGGCCGAGTCCCAGGTCGGGGCCACCTCGTTCTGGTAGAGGGAAGCAATTTGTGGACACTCCCCCGCTCACCCAAACTCCAAGTTGGCGCGCGCGGGGAAGACTGCGGTCGAACTGCAGTTCACTCAACCCAACGCCAACATTGATCATCAGGGGGTGGGAGGTATTGACAGACGAATGCGGCATTAGTGTTCGCTAATTTTTTCCGAAGCCTGTCTCGACCCCGCCCCAGCCTCCCACTCACAGGCTTGCACAATCCTTGGCGGCGCACAGAGGGGGGTAAGGGGAGGGGAGCAGGCTTCTCAAAAAGGGAGTTGCTTCTAAAGGGCGCGGACCTTACATCTGTAGAGGAGGCCCGCGCCTTCTAAGAGGCATGGGTGCTTCTAAGCAGCCTTCCCTCCTCCCTCTACCCCCCTCTGCGCGTGGTCGAAATCCAGCATCCGTGCAGGGCAGTTGAATGCCACAGGGACCAGGGAAAGCCTCACAACGCATGATGGACTCTGTCTGGCCCAGTACACCAAGGGATGGGGGACGGGGACGGAAGAGGGGATGGGAGGAAGGATAATCGAAGAGCCCACGCGGTCGGTGGACGTCCTTTGGCCTCGCCGCATGCTCACCAGCCTCTGGCCAAGGCTCACACACTAACCCTGCTCATAGGCCGCCGTGGCAGCTCTGCTCAAAAACTGGCCAGCGCCGTCTCCGAGCCGCAGCCCAGCCCGCGAGACCTGCCTCAGGGACCCAGCAGGCGCCCCCCCAGAGCACCGGCCGACGGGTTCTGGGGGCGGTCTGGGGAACACGGGCGGTGCCCCAGGCGCTCGAGACATCCTAGGAGAACAGCCCTCCGAACCGCCGGATGGCGTGGTCACACCATCCACGCTGCAGGACCTCCGAGGGGCAGAGGGGGAGAATGAGGAGGAGGGAGGAGGAGGGAGGAGGGAGGAGGGAGGAGGGAGAAGGGAGGAGGGACGAGGAGGAGGAGGAGGAGGAAGCGGAGGAGGAGGAGGAGGAGGAGGAGGAGGAGGGAGGAGGAGGAAGCGGGAGGAGGAGGAGGAGGAGAGAAGGAGGAGGAGGAGGAGGAGAGGGAGGAGGAGGAGAGGGAGGACGAGGAGAAGGACGAGGAGCAGGAGGAGGAGCCCCAGAGCTGAGCCCACGGCCCTGCCAACACCCTCCTGAGAGCCAACTGTGCCTGGCGCGCGTCGCGGCGCGTCGGGCGGGCTGGACCAGAACAGCGGCCAGGAGGGGAGCAACTCGTGCCCCCTGACTGCACGACTCGCGCCTCGCAAAGCGCAAACAGCTTCGCGCCCCCGCGCAGCCACACCCACCCCCCTCCAGAAGGGCAACTCTCGGGCCCAGTTCATGAGGAGCGGAAGGCGGTCATCCTCACACCCTGAAGCATGACCCGAGCATGTCTGCCGTTCCCACCCCCCACCGCTCTGCGACGCACGAAAGTGCGAGCGACATCAGGAACGGTCTGGAGCTGGCTTGGCATGTTGGCATGAACCGGAACAGAAGGGCCAGACTATCGAGGAGAACGAGCGACGGATGACGACCGGAAAACAAACAACGAACATAAGCAGAGGCAGACGGGTAGCTGGCAGCCTGAATACGCCCATGTATACAGGGCCTCTCACTCTTTCGAGTTCTCCTGCCAAGCTCCCAAGAGATTCGTAAACTCAATTCGCACCTGGTGGGTTTGTTGCTGAGCTGATGCGTCCGAAAATGCAACTTGACCAGGAACATGAGCTGCCCACGCTCTTTTAAAGAGGGGATTCTGGATGACCAACTTCTGCTGCCCAATCCCTCGTCAAGGGAAACAGAACCAGGAGAAAGCACAAGGGAGATAAGAGGGACAAGGGGCGCCTCCAACGCAAAAACAAAGAACAACGAACAGCGACGGCGGCTTCGGGACACCTGGAAATCACAAGACCCCGCAGAACCATTCAGCATGTAGCTTGAATATGAAGTGCGGGTGGAAAATCGGGGTGTTCAATGCCGGCTGGAACCGTCGATTCAGACACATACGCCGCGTACGATTTGTCACCCAGGAACCTGGGTGCAGCGGAAACTGGAGGGCGCGCGTATGTACACGATTGCGTGTGGAACAATGCACCAATAGGCTAGCACGGGGAACCAGGTATAAGTGTTATGATTATTATTATGTCCCTATTCCAAGTGAGTGGCGCCCCCCACCGCCACCACTCATGCAGCTGAAGAAGGGCGTGGCGTCCCTGAAAACATCAGCTGCCCCCTGCCTCATCCTCCCCATGCCTCCTTCCCTGCCTCCTCCTCTTCTTCTTCGCAATATTATTATGAGAATGAGCATTACAAGTGTTATTAATAGTATTATTCGTCTGATTATTAGTGTGATGCGTCGTCTTATTCTTCTTCTTATTACAAGCATTCGCATTATTATTCGCATTGATTAATGTACGTAGTAATATTTTTCTTAGCTGCATTAATCTTGATAGTGATACTCTTACACGTATCATTAGTAGTATTAGAATTACTAACAGTATAGTATGAATACTAGTACTAGTACTCATACTAGTAGTAGTAGTCGTAGTAGTAGTAGTAGTAGTAGTAGTAGTAGTAGTAGTAGTAGCAGTAGTAGTAGTAGTAGTGGTAGTAGTAACAGTAGCAGAGGTAGTAGTAGTAGTAGTAGTAGTAGTAGTAGTAGTAGTAGTAGTAGTAGTAGTAGTCGTCCAACTCCTCCTCCTCCTCCTTCGCCTCCTCCTCCTCCTCCTCCTGCCGGCATCCTCCTGCCTCCTGCCTTATCGGCATCCCTCATCCTCCCTCATCCCTCCTGTTCCTGTTCCTCAGCGTTCTCCCCCCTGCTCCTCCTCCTCCTCGTCCTCCCTTCCTCCTCCCATTCCCTACCTGCAGCACCCTTGCACCGCGCCTCATCCTCCTCCCCCTCAAGCTCCTCCTCATCAACCTCCTCCTTCTCCTCCTCCACCTCCTCCTCCTTCTCCTCCTCCTGTCTCCTGCCTCATCGGCATCCCTCATTCTTCCTCCTTCCCCCTGTTTGCTCATCGACGTTCTCTCACCTGCTCCTCCTCCTCCTCCTCCTCCTCCTCCTCCTCCTCCTCCTCCTCCTCCTGCTCCTCCTCCTCCTCCTCCTCCTCCTCCTCCTCCTCCTCCTTCTCCACCTCATCCTCCTCATCCTCCTCCTCTTCTTCCTCCTCCTGTACTGGGTGTGGCAGACGCGTGTGGTACCCCCCCGCTGGGGCCTTACGTGGAGCTCCCTATGGGGCCACCAAACGCTGTACTGGGTGTGCGGTACCCCCCCACACCCCCTGGGGCCTTACGTGGAGCTCCCTATGGGGCCACGGGAAACGCTGCACTGGGTGTGGCAGACGCATGTGGTACCCCCCCCCCTGGGGCCTTACGTGGTCCCCATGGGGCCACGAAACGCTGTACTGGGTGTGGCAGACGCATGTGGTACGCCCACCCTGGGGCCTTAAGTGAACACCACAGGATGGTTGGGAAATATTTGCTTCGAGCGATCCCCACCAAAACCTTGGGCCCCTGTCCTCCTCATCCTGCCCCATGCCTCCTTCCCCTCCTCCTTCCTCCCCCCTCCCAACCTTAGACTGAGGGACGCAGGCGAGGAGGCCGCCCGCGGCGGGGCGGCGGCAGGGACTGCGGGTTCTCGGGACAACTGGAAGTCTGGCCTGGGTTGGGTTTGTTGTGTTATCGTGTGCTCTGGTTTGGTTTGTTCCGTGATGCTATGTGGTTATATGCTATGTGACGTGCTGATCTGGTTTGTTGTGTGATAGTATGCTGTGCTATGTTATTTCAGTATATGCATTATTTTGTCATGATGATTCATAGTATACTATGTTATGTCGTGCTCCGTCTACTATGTTGATCTGCTCTGGCGTACTATGATATGGTATGTTATGTGATGGTATGGCATGATCTGTGTTGTAGTGATACTGCCATGTTATGCTCTGTCATGTTATGTCATGGTTGTGCTAAGCTATGGCATATTATATTGTGGCACATTGCGATCTGTCGTGTCCGTCGCTATGCTCTGTCGTCGTGCTATGATATGTTCTGAACGCTGTGTCATGATACGATAGGTTCCGTCAAAGTGTGCTATGTTATGCTCAGCTGTGTTATGTTAATGTGTGTGCTCTGTCGTTTTCTGTTCTGCAATGGTCTGCCCGGTCTGTGATGTTACAATATGATCTACGTTGCCATAATATTGTTATGTCATGGTATGTCATGGTATGTTGTGTAATGGTGTATGTTTCCGGGTTTGTCGATTGCACGACTCAGAGATTCTCGGGACAGCCAAAGATCTGGCCTGGTTATGTTTTGTTATGTGATCTTCTCTAATGCTCTGGCTTGGTTTTTTCTGTGATGTTCTGCGGTTCTCGGTTATGTTACGTTCGGCTCTGGTTTGTTATGTGATGTTATGGTGCGTTCTTTCATGCTATGCGTTGTTGTGTCATGTTCTGTCATGCTATGTTATGTTCTGTCGTGTTATGTCTACTATGTTGGTCTGTTCTGGTGTTATATGAACTGCTATGTTCTGTGATGTTCTGTCATGATATGTTTTGTAATGGTACCGCCATGTTATGTTCCGTCATGGCATGTCATGGTTGTGTCATGCTATGTTATCTTATATTGCGGTACGTTGTGTTATGTCGTGATCGTCGCTATGCTCTGTCGTCGTGTTCTAATATTTCTTAACGCTGTGTCATGATATGACATGTTCCGTCAAAGTGCGTTATGTTATGATCAGTCATGTTATGATGTGTGTGTTCTGTCGTTTTCTGTTATGCCTGGGTATGTTTTGTGATGTTATACTATGCTCTATGTTGTCATGATAATGCTGTTATATCCTGTCATGTTCTGCTGTGTACTGTTGTGCTGTTTCGTGTTTGTCGAGGGCGCGAGGCGGGACTCCCAGGGACACTCGGGGACTCTCGGGGACACTCGGGGACTCTCGGGAAAACTTGGGGTCTGGCTGCCGCGGTATGCAGACGTGTTTGTCGAGGGCGAGGGTGCGGGATTCCCAAGGACTCTCGGGGATACTGGGGGATTCTCGGGACAACTTGGGGTCTGGCGGCCGCGGTATGCAGGGTGGGGTTGGCCGGGGGGTCTGATTTTTTTTTCTTTAGACCGTCCCGTGGACTGTACCGGATCTCTTGCTCGAGCCATGCGGACATGCGATTGATCTGCAGTCCAGCGTTTCATGGACGCCTCCAAGAAGGCGCACGCGCAGCCGACTGCATGACGGTAATCCACGAGCGCCACTGGTAGTGCCTGCGCCTCCGAAAATACCATAACTTCGATATGATCCACGCAGCCACCGTGTCTCGATGTATCAGCCCATATCGAATCAAAGACCACGCCTTCGCGGTCGTCTGGAGGCCTGGTGATCTGCTGCATGGGCTCTGACGCGCGAAAAGACTCCCCAAGGGCAACGCGGGCAACCATTAAGGTCCTCTTGGCACTCTTTTCCAACTGATTTGCGCGATCTTCTGTGTAATCATCGCTTTTTGAAGAATTCGCAGCGAAGTAAGAAGCGGTGCCGAAGAGCTTACCAGAAGTCTCGCCCCCCATCTGCGGATTGAACCCACCTTTGCAAATCTTCTCTAGGGTCGATGGTACAGCCCCATGGAATAAGAAATGCTCGTTCAAGTCGAAGTCGTACCTGCTCGCCGGCACTTTCAGATGAGACAGAGCCGGAATCGGAGAACACATGCCCTTTCGCTGCCTCTTGCCCTCAAGGTTCTGGAGCTTTGCCATGTAAGATGCTTGCACTCTTGGGTTTACTACCGATCGCACCCTGATGATCTCAAGCTGCGGCGGATCATAGTACACGGCAGACCGGTACGACTCCCTGTGACTTGCAACCGTGCTGACGACAATGTGCGACATAAACTGGCTAAACGGGTCATCTTCTGGCACTGCGACAATGCCGTATTCAGAATAATGGGAAGGCCGAGGCATCTGGGCAGCGTGCGCGAGTCGATATTTGTCCATTATCTCTTTGAACATGAGCATGTAATCATCATGGCGCCCATCCGTTCTCTGTCCAGAACCACTCGAACAGTCAGACTCCAGCCATATCTTCAATGTCGAGTCAGCTGAAGCGGAGAGAACCTTCTTCCCGTCTGGAGAGAAACAACAACTAACACAATCGTCGTGCCCACTCAAGGTATGCAGCAG